AGAACTGAAGTGCCTGTAGCTGACTGTTCTTTTAAGCAGACACCCAGTACTGTACACCTGAACTGATGTTAAAAATCTGACATATCAATTAGCAAATGAAATACTCAAAAAAGGGTACTGTCAGGTCAAATTATGCTCCAAACTGGGGTTTTGTAAAAATAATCTTTACAAAACCAAGACTAGTAGAAATGCAAATTTTTTATTCCCATAGAAAATATTTTAAAAAATTCCCCTGCTGTATGCATGAAACAAACATGCTATTGTATGAGAAATTTAAGTTGATAAGATAATACTTAGAGGAAAAAATGTGAAACTGACCTATTTTCATTGTATAAGAGAAATGTAGAAAGTATTAAAAACTAATAAAAAAGGGTAAATTATATTTAATTAGTTTAAATAATCCAAGGTATTATTTGTAATACAGGTAAGTAAATATTCAATCAACTCTCATTAAATATTTAAAACAAGAAGAGGCAAGCAACTGTCTTTACAGGAATTTATGTCATAAATGCTTTGTTTGTGTAAACGATTCCCTTTATGATCGTGATAGATGATCATGATTCAGGATTACAAGTTGTTTACATCAACACTGTCCTTGACCAATCCAGCACAAATGAATAAAGTGGAAAGTAAATATTGTCTTCTATATGGTATTAGCATAAAGAAAACAGATTTGGAATCGTTGCACTTCAGTCTTCTAACACCATTATTCAGGGCTGGTCCACACTAACACTGTAAATCGATCTAAGTTACACTAGTTTCAGGGTGGATAAAAATCAATGATTTTTAAAAAAAATAAATAAAAAAAGGAAAAAAAACGGATTTTTATTTAAACTGGATTTTTTTGATAAAAGGTTTTTTCCTCAAAAAGCATCTCTAAAGATGGTTTTAATTAAGATACATTATAGCTCAAAGATATCTCATCACAGAATAGGGATTGTAAATTCTAATTCTAGAGTATGAGACAATATATTCATGTAATGTTTAAGAAAAGTTTTGTAAATGAGTTCCAATAGTTCATGGATTAGGAACCCAATTTTATGCGGTTCCAGGGGCTTCTGTATAGATTATTTAGGTTAATCTTTCTATCTACCCAATGGGACTCAGTGCTCAGTCTAGAAGATACCATCAGAGATGCTTAGTTTTGCAGTTCTCAAACTGTGGATTTGTGTCTCCAGAGATAACATGCTTGTTAACAGCAAAAATGTTTTTAAATAAAGAAATAAATAATATATAGAGGTGAGAAATAACAGACCTCAACCCTACTGTCCCTCTGCAAATTTGTGTACACAGAGTCAATCCCTTACCCCTCTCTAAAAGTGCAAAGTTTCAAAAAGTTCAATGAATAGAAGATTGTTGGGGACGGAATAGATCTCGACAAGGAGAAGTCTGGACATAAATGTGAGAAGGGAGGGACAGGAGTAGAAACCAAAGTTAAACTGTTTGAGCAGCATATTCCAGAAGTCTTGAGGTTTTTCTGAGTGTAGCCTTCATTGATTTGAGATCTACCATACCAATCTCTCACTGGAAGGGAAACCCTATAATGGCAGCAAGCCATAAAAGAGAGCTAGTTTGGGAATAAGAACCATTCAACAAATATGTTTGCTGATGATGTTTTAAAAAAAGTCACACCAGTGAACTGGTGGAAGTCACTTAAGCACTTGAGACTGTTGAAGTAATAATCTCACTTTAACAGCAGTAGCTTCTTCTGCCAGTGTAGAAAGAATATTTTCTTCCTTTGAACAAATTCATTCCAAATTGAGAAATTGTTTGGGACCTGAAAAGGCAGGAAAGCTTGTTTTTCTCTTCCAGATTATGAACAAACAGGAAAATGAATGTGAAGACAACTGAGTTAGCTGCAGAATCCAAAATTTTAAGTTTCTCGTGTCGATGTGTCGATTTTTAAAAAATATTTCATTTAACTATTTTAGTTAAAAACAATTTAACAAAAGCAAACCTGATTTTAAAAACTTGAATGTTTAACTAAATTCAAAAATTCATATGCTTGTTTTGTTAAAATATTATAGGTTTGCTGTTGAAGAAAAAAATCCAGAATACATAATGTTGTTGTTTTAGTTAAATAAAACAATTTAAATGTCTGTCTGGTGATGCTCTCCTCCAAATACAGCATGGGAAGAAAATCCTCCAAATATTAATGATTAACCTGTTGAATTGGAGATCGTTCACCTCCCAATGACTTCATAAATATCTGCTTCAACTACTAAACAATCATTCATTTTCTGATATAGCTGTAAAAGTAATCTGAAAAGTTTTCAAAATAAATCACTTAAATATATAGTGTATACCTTCTAAAAATGAAACCATCTATCTCTGAGTTGTGAAGAATATGTATTAAGGTTATAACAACCAACAAGAATGCACTTTTATGTAGAAATCCATGATTAAATTGAGTCTTCCTGACTAATGATTTAAATCAAATCCACCCTGGCTAGTTCAGTTACATAAATTACGTAACTGAAGTCCACGTAACTTACTGCAGTGTAGACACCACTGTAAGTCAACCTATATTGACGGGAGACCCTCTCCTGTCAACATAGCTTCCGCCTCTCCGGGAAGCGGAGTATAGACATCAACAGGAGAGCGTTCTCCCATCAACTTAGCATGTCTTAGCATGTCTTCACCACTAAATCGACACCGCTGCATTGATCCCAGCAATGCCGATTTAGCCGGTAATGTAGACATAGCCTCATTTATCAGCCAAGCAAGGTAGTCAATCCATTTACAGAAATATCTACAATTACAATCCAGTCTGCACCTCTTAGTTCCTCCTACAGCTTTAACTACCGATATGGGAAAATTTAAGAGAACATCAGACAGTGTGCTTTCTGAATACAGTCAATCTCCAAAATTTCAGAATACTAGTCACACAACTTCCCAATCTTCTGGTGAAGGGGGAAAAAAATAGGCCTTTCTCACAGTAGCAGATGCTTAAGGAGCAGGACATATTAAATATTTCCAAGGTTTTATTAAACAAAAACCCCACATGCGACGTTTATGCATATTTGCAGGAAGGATCTAAAATCTGGGCTTTAAATTAGAAAGAACAGGGATGGTCCTAAACACTTGTTGAATCTGAATGCCTCCCTTCCACCACCCAAACATACATGACCCAAAAAGGAAGCAGGGCACAGATGCTGACTTTCCAAAGTTCCAGGGGGTGCTCGATCCCTGGCTCTGCCCCAGACCCTGCCCCACCCCCACCCCGTCCTCCAAGGCCCCACCTTCACCCCACCTTTTACTGCCCCCAGTCCACCCAGCTCCGCCTCTTCGTGCCCAGTTCTGCCCCCTCCCCCAAGTGCACTGCATCCTCACTCCTCCCCCAGCCTCCTGCATGCCGCCAAACAGCGAATTGCAGTGGGGGGGAGGTGCTGATCTGCGGGGCTTGCTGGTAGGTGGGAAGTGCTGGGGGGGGGGGAGGTGATAGGAGGGCTGCTGGTGGTTGCTCAGCACCCAACATTTTTTCCCCATGGGTGCTCCAGCCCCAGAGCACCCACAGAGTCGGTGCCTAGGAAGCAGGGCTTGACTATATCTATTTTAATTCTTGCAAGTGGCCCCACAGGACCTCAGGTCCCACCCCTTGGAAAAATGGTAAAATCTAGCCTAACCTCCCCCCTTAAATTGCATAATTTGGCTGGATAGTTTGCCCCACATCTCACCCTCCCCTTTATAGTAACACTACATTTGGGCACTGCCGTTTCCTCTTTCAACATCTATACCAGTAAGGTTCAGGGAGAAAGAAAGCATATTTAGAAATCTGCAACAGGTAAAGAGAACTCAGCCATGTAAGACAAGGTACTTCAGGGGATGTCCAACTCAGGTAAGGACGATACCCTCTCAAACTCCCACATCATCTTGCCCAGTTTTCTGAAGTGTTTTCTCTTGCCTACCCACAGTAGTTTGGGAAAAATAAAGATCTCTGCACACATCAGGGTGGGAGTGGCAGCCTAAGACACAATCCACAATTCCCAGGGGACTCAAAAGAAGCAGCATCAGCCATTAAAGCAAGTGTCGTATTCATAAACATATGGCAGAAATTCTGAATTTCATACAGGCCCAAGGGACACAGGTTCTCTGAATTAAACTGAGGGAGCAACCTCCTATACATGGATAAAGGTCATCCCCACCTGGATTGCAGACAGGGTATGGCAGCGGTTCTTAAACTTTTGTACTGCTGACCCCTTTCACATCGCAAGCCTCTGAGTACGACCCCGCTCTTATAAATTAAAAAACACTTTTTTTAATATATTTAACACCATTATAAATGCTGAAGACAAAGCGGGGTTTGCGGAGGAGGCTGACGGCTCGCGACCCCCCCTGTAATAACCTCACGACCCCCTCTGGGGTCCCAACCCCCCGTTTGAGAACCCCTGGGGTATGGTCTCAAAGGGCCCCATTCCAAAGCACAGGGACAGCCCCAAACACACATGCCAGGGCAGGGATTTCCAGCCAATGACTTCTCCAAAGGTGGCCTGTGTGATACAGGAGTTCAGACTAATTGATCACAATGGTCCCTTCGGGCGCGGGACTCTATGAAGCTATGAATCTTCTGAAGCACACCCTTACTTACAGCCCCGCCTTCAACTCCACCTGGCTGGGCAGGGCAGGGCGCCCCACCTCACTCCCACACACAAGGCTGCCCCAACACTCTCCCCAGCCAGGGATTGCCCCATGGCGAGCACAGCTGGGGCCCCCTCCCCCAGGGCACTCTGAGGAGAAGGGGGGACCCGGGAGACCCCTTCTTGCGGGCAGCCAATGAGAGGCGGTGGCGGGCTCAGGAACCCTGTACGAGAGGGAGCGGGAGCAAGAGACCCCCCCCCGGAGAGGGGCCTGGGCCAGACCCGGCAAGGGGGGTCCCCCTGACCCCGCGGGGAGAAGCCGCTGGGTCCGGAGCTCCCAGCCCCTGAGGAGTGACAGGGTCCCGGACCCCAGGGAAGCCCCGGCTCCCATGGGCGAGGGGACAGTCCGGGCCCGCCCCTTACCTGGGGCTGACACCCGGATCCTTCCTTCCTGCCTGCCCCCGCTCCGCCGCGGCTCTGAGCGCAGCGCCTCCCCTCCCCGAGGAGCTCCCTTGCATTGGGGTTCCGCCGCGCGCTCCCGCCGCGGGGCACTTCCGGCCGCGCGCGCGGCCCCCTCCCTGCTCAGTCACTCCGCACAACCGCCCACGGCGCGGAGGCGGGCCCGCTTCCGGGTCACGTGGCGGCCTCTGGTCAATCGCAACGCAGCCGCTGGAAAGGGCGGGGCCTGGCGGGGGCTCGGGAGAACCGCGGAGGCCAGCGGTAGGTGAGGTGGGAGCGGAGGGTTGGTGAGGTGCGAGGCGCGGCGGCTCCAGCGCAGGCCTGGGGCGGCAAGCCGCGGGGGG